AGAATAGAATATTGGAAAATGAAAATGGATTTCAAGTTGGATTTCGATATCTAATATATATCTATTTTTATGAGCTTGCACACTTTAAAATGTATGTAATTTAGTTGCAAATAAAATGTTTATCCTTTTGGATTACACAGTTTTAACATAAACTAATAAAGTTAATGTGATGCGTATTTGTTAGTGATTCATTAATGAAACATGAATGAGCTTAAATACTAATAAACCAAATGCTTTGTAAATACACAATTTATTGTCAATTAATCCAATTTCTTATATATAAATCTCATACATTTTAACTACTTGGCTCGTTTGTTCCACAGATAATTAAATAAACCGTTACTTTTTTAAGAGAAGACATTACATGCATTGGTACATTTTGAGATTTTAGACTATTTTGCTTCCATAACATGTTATTTCAGACTAGCTTTACTATTGTTATTACTATTGTACACTAACATGTTATTCTCAAAATAATAATAATAATCATAATAATATTTATGGAATATCATATAACCAAGTTATTTTTTCATCCATGTTTTAATTGACACAGTTCTGTTGAGCAGCATCTTATTGTAAATTTTTGTAAATTAATTGCTGTATTTTAATTTGATGACATTTTAAAAGATTTATTAAATTGTTAAAGTTTTCTGAATTCATCTTATTAGACACCGTTTTTGAGTATAAATTTGTATTGAATCATAAAATCAAAATAAATAAATAAAATAAAATAAAACGGAAAACACATTTTCTGTTTTTAGGAAACAAAATTATTTCATGGGACCCCAAATTAAAAATATCTTACTCTGTGTAGTTTAATTGTGAACAAACAAGTTTATGTTTACATTAATTCTCAAGGTCTAACAAACATACATTGATATTAATATAATATTTTTGGCCATATCGCCCAGCCCTACTTTCTTACGATTCCCATCCCGACTCATAAGTGACGTAGTGTTTCAGTTCAGCATCTTAAACATTTTCCGTGCTATTTAGAATAAAAACTGTACATTTTACTGCTTCTCGCCAAGGCAGCCGAGCTGTAATATGAATCTGGAGAAGCTGTGAAGCAGTAAAAGACATGCATACTGACATCTGCTGTAAGATGCTCTTGTCAAACCGCTGGTTGCATGACTGAGAGCGAACACCCACAAACCTGCTCAAGACAATCTGTACAAGACCTGAGCGCTTTTGTTCCACTGTCACAGCATCTCTACCAAATTCTACACCAAAAAAAATCATAACAAGCAATGTCCGACTTTGGAAACTATAGTTGAGTTACTATAGTTACTATAGTAACTCAAACAACAGATTAATGAGTTCATCCAAATTTCACAAAAAGCTCATGGATGTAATTATAATATAAGTCTGACATTGAAGTGAGTTGCTGTTTTATTTGGCCACGTACACGCTGCAGCTAAAATCGGTTCCCTTTCAGTCGGTCACTCCCGACGTCATGTCGGTTGACCGACGAAATTGGGATCTCGCTTAGAGGGACCAATCCACTTCGAGTGTAAACTAAACGAGCCAATGCACATTGGCATGCGATTATTGCATCCAGCTGCTGCTGATCACAGCGTGAGTATAAGTAGGCAGCAGATGCAACGCATATTCAGCTTTTCGCTTCGTTTAGTTTACACTCGAAGTGGATTGGTCCCTCTAAGCGAGATCCCAATTTCGTCGGTCAACCGACGTGACGTCTCCGTTCCCTCCTTCAGGGAACGAGGGTTACATACGTAACCGAGACGTTATCAGTTCACCTTTTACTCCTTAATCGCGTTCTGCACTCACATAATTCACTAAAATAAGGGAGTGACAACCGCATTCGACAAGCGCATTAACTCCCGAAAAATACAGGTAGTGACAACCGCATTCACAGAAATTATACGCAGTGTGTACGGAACCGAACCGAACAACTAGTTGTTAACGACGTATTTAAACGAGCATCAGAAATGTGTCTTCGTCTGTATGTGAGATGCAAGACAATAACAGTGAAAGAAGTCTTAACCTTAGCACATTTTGACACATGGCTAGTGTTGCCAACTAATTTTCAGGGGAAGTTGCTAAAAGAAGGTCGATTTGTTGCTGAAAGTTGCTAAATGACGTTGTGATGTCATTGTGCGATGACGTCATTACGTAATCACGACGCAAAGTTTTGTCACTACATCAAATCATGATACAATCAAAAAAAAATGTTATATGTTAATTTAGATATGTTCGTAAAATAATATAAATGCATAATATAATGTTAAAATATAAATAACTATTTTTATGTACAACATTGAATTATTGAACACTTTTTTGAACGATTGAACGACGAAAAAGTTTTTTTTATTAGCTAGTAAAACTACACATTCTGAACAATTATAGTTTTAAGCTGTGTATTTACCTGTATTTTAAATTACACATTGCATTTTGTGTTTTTGGGTTATAGGGTTACAACGGATAATGTCCTGGAAAATTACTAGTACCTTTTCCATTTTTCTAGATATTTTTATTACAGAGTACTAACTGATCAACAATCACAGGTACAAGCTACTAACAAGGTGTATCATAAATGAACAATTATTAAATTATTATTATTATTATTATCAAATTGAACAATTGCAAGTAGCAATAACTTAATTCACGTGATGTGTGCACTGCTAGCCATCTTTGGTTTCCTCTTTTTGTTGAAATTTAGATGGAAAATGTGTGCCTTTTCATTGTTTGAGTCACTTATCAAAAGTTGCTAAAAGTAGCCAAATAAAATGTAAAAATAGCTAAATTTGTTGCTAGGTGCTTTTGGAAGAAAACGTTGCTAGGGTTGTCTGAAAAGTTGCTAAATTTAGCAACAAAATTGCTAAGTTGGCAACACTGCACAGGGCTAGTTGCACTTACGAGCCCTGCGGTAAAGTGTCAGTGTTGCCAGATCTTCATAGAAAAAAACAACAACAACAAACAAGGACAAGCACAAAAAACACGAAAACACCCGAATGCTTTGTTTTATTACACCAAAAAATCTTCTATCTCATATCCGCCACAGACCACTTTATTAACTCTAAGACCAAACAACATGCCTAAAACTGCTTGTAAATATGAGGACATGGCAACACTATCAGCGGTAGTTTAGTTAAAATCGACGGATAAAAAGAGTCTTTAGCCAAAAAATGGCAGATACCAAACGGCTAAATTCTTATTCACTTCCGCAAGATGCCAAAATGTTGCTATGGTTACAAATACGGGAGTGACTGCTGTTCCGTACACACATGGAGCGATAATTTACGGGACTCAATTAAATGCGGTTGTCACTCCTGAAACTTGCAGTGTGTACGTGGCCTTTGTCTCTTCTGAGGAAGATTCATTCACTCGTTTGCCAATGTACCACACAGATAAATTTTGGTCAGATATTTTAATGTTTATCTAATCTAATTTTGTAAGTGACCTTTCTTTCTGTTTTAAAGATGTTTTCTCTCTACTCAAAAGAAAATTTAGGAAAATATAACTTAATTAATTTGTTTCCTGGTAGCTAGATTTCACATACATAAACAAATCTGGCTCTAAACCCCTCTTTTCCTGATCTGAATCAAAAGATTTGTGAACCCGCTCCGAAGTTCCGATCTAAATCAAATGATTTGCGATCCACTCTACGAATCATCATTTCAGATCGTGACTTTGGAGTGCAGATCGCGAATCGTTCAATGTGCGAAATGATTTGCAAACTCCCTCCGAAGTGCCGATCTGAATAAAAAGATTCACGAAACTGCTCCGAAGATCCTATCTAAATCAAGTGATTCACAATACGCCAACCGATTCGAGTAGTTTGAAACAGTGAATCATTTTGCGATGCAGTGATTTAACTGATTCGGAGTTTCGAAAAGCCCCGCTTCACCCCATCACTATATGTGCTTTTTAAAAATCATTACAAGCGATGTCGAAATTCAAATATGAATGGCTCTTTTGATCTGGCTTTTGCTAGTGAATCGCTTGAACTGATTCATCGAAGTGACAAGTCAATCGGAGTGGTTCCAGCGTAAATGACTCACTAAATTGAATCGGTTTGTCTGTTCCTCCTTTCGTGTCTTCAGTCATGTTTACACGACACTATCAGAACTGCTGCTGGCTTAACTCGCTAGTTTTATTACATTAACTGAAATAAGAGAAAAAGTATGATTTTTTTTTTTACAAATAAAATATCCACAATTTAATTCCAAAGATAACATCCATCACAAATCTACGAACATAATCAGGTGAGGTAACCGG